GATATGCGTCACTTCATTGATATGTCGGAAGTCGATAAAAAATCGGGACTTCCCATCCTTCTTCCCATCCTAACAATAACTACTTGCATTGACTTTACATAATAATTACTACTTTATTAAGCATTATAGAAAAAAATGACTCAAGACTTTTCGACTTAATTTTTGATAAGAAAAATCGCTGTGTAAATAGTGAGCGCAAATTAATTGACACCCTGTATATTTTATTATAAGTAAAAGTTTTAAATATATTATTTACATTTGCATGACATTGTTACAAAAAGTACAAAAAGTAGAAACTTGCACATTGCTTCCTCATAATTTTCAAGTGTGCAAGTAGAAACTTGCACATTGCTTCCTCATAATTTTTAAGTGTGCAAGTAGAAACCTGCATATTGCTTCCTCATAGTTCTTAAGTGTGCAAGTAGAAATCTTTGCTCACAAAGCTTCCTCTATGAGAAAGCCAAAACAAATAATAATTATACATCAAATAAAATAAAAGCTTCCTCATAGAGGAGCTTTGTGAGCAAATGTTTCTATTTGCACACTTAAAAACTATGAGGAAACAATGTGCAGGTTTCTACTTGCACACTTTTTTTCAATTAATTTAAAATTAAAAGTTAATTGATTGTTTAATTTTGTTTATAAATTATTTAAAGTCAAATACATGTTAATATAAAGTATTTTTTGTGAAAAACAGTCTAATATCTAACATAGTTAAATGTGATATAGCTGTAATAAGTTATTCTAAGTAAAGTACTGTTAGTCTCTTAAGCTTTAATATAGTAATAGATTAGTAACATTAGTATAAACGTTATTTTATTGAGGTTTGTATTCTGTGATTAATTAAGTCTAACCATACTTGTTGTTTTTAACAAAAAAATTAATGATTGAAAAGTTATATTTTCATTAATAAGTATTACATTTGTACTACTAAGTTTATAATAAAATATATTAATATTTAATGTGTGTGTAGTTTTTATCATATACAACTTGCAAATTTAGTTATATTCCGCTCTTGCACTTAATGTATATATAAAACTAATCAATCAATAATCACAATTGAACGCTCACACATTCTTTAGTTTAATATCGCGTAAAAGAGTCACGGTCGGTCTCCGCGTGTACTTGGCGCGAGACACTACCGTGTCTCTTGATCATTTAATAATTAGTTTAATATATCATTTACATACTGCGTAAGTCGTATCTCAACTTATATACTTTATCTCGTATGTTCCTTGTATTTTTAGTTTTCAAGATTTAACAATCATTTTATATTACAATTACACATTTGTACTTTTATTTATAACAAACCTTTGCAACTTTGCTTATAACTAAAATACTTAATGTTTAACTAACCTTATATACTACATAATTTTATATCGGAAGAATGTTCATAATTTCGATTCGTTTCAACAGAGCTACATTATTTTCTTGTTCTTCATTAACGTTTACAATAAAATTATCCTGTGCTCTTATGTCCCTCCATTCTATCTCATCTACAAGTGAAGGAACCCCTTCACCGATTCTCATCCAATTAATCTTCCTTTAATGATACATTATCGATTAAAAAAAAATTGAGCCCGATACCACGGACATCAAATCTGTACGTGAGCGTACGTATATACACTCGAATGTGTATATTTCATATTGAAATATTTCATAAGATTCAATTTTATGAAACTTGAACTATTTTATCTATAAAATAATTCGATATTAAAATAAAACAAAAAATTTTTAAAGACCATAGTATGTATATCAAAGAAGAAGACAAAGATAACATATAATAAAGAAATGTGACATAAAAGACACTTAGTGCTGCTATACCAATCGAAAGAAACATCTTGATGGTTATAATAAAAATATTAATATTCATATTCATAGTCACATATGTTAGTAATTAATATTAACATATTATAAATAGTTTAGAACACGAAAATGTCTATAAAGTTATAATAGTTTTCCGTGAGAAGCAAATTATAAAATTACCATTCCGTGCTCTCTTATACCTACGTATGGGAAAGAGATTAACCCTCCGTAGTCACACCTATTTTTTCAAACAAGAAAGTCACTCTGGGTTATTTTGACCCGAGACGAACTTTGACCGTTCGCCATTTGACCATTTATCCACCGATCGTGTTGAAAAAATTCTCAAATGCACTTGCGATATTGCTAAATTGATTGCTATTAAAAACGAAGGGCCTCAGGACTTTTTAACATATAAAAAAAATTCGCAAAAAATTTGTTAAAAAAAAAAAATTTTTTTAAACTACAGCTAAAGGGCGTCATGCCCGCCAATTTTCAAGTTACGCGCAAGATATTTACGAGCAAAGTTGAGGCTCGGGTCAAATTGACCCGGTGTGACTACGGAGGGTTAATAGCGAATATCGCTACTAAATCTCTTTGCCATATGTGAGAAAGCACGGAATGGTAATTTTGTTGTCCGGTAAAATAGTGGACTTTTTATGGTAACTAATAATATATATCTAATAATTACTAGGCAACTTTTTGTCAACCTGTTGTGCCTGGCTCCGGTCTGGCACAAGGGTCTGTTGCTTCTTGAGGAGAAATGAGTTGAATCACGCGTTACAATTGAGCCTATGTAACATTTGAGCTGACGTTGTCTGACCGTTTTCCTGACTGCCTGATTGCCTTTCCCCAAGATGTATATAGTGCTTCGGCAATTGTATAGGTTGCAGCGTCAGTGCAACCTCAGAGTTTTTGGCAATCAGGTCAATTTCTACATCGGGGTTAATGTGTCAAAATTTTGAAGTGTCAAACTGTTCGGAAATCAGGCCGATTACTAAATTAAGGCAAGCTGATTTCCGATTTTTTTCCGGGTGATGTCACGACTTATACAACAAACCATTAATACGTAATAGAAAAATCGGGTACTGTTTTCTTCGACTTTTCGTGAATTTCTTCTAATTTCTCCGCACTGTAGTTCGCTGCTTTATTCATGCTTTTGCGTGTCATACTATTAATAATGTCTTTTATAGTTGAAAATTTAAATGCGTAGAACAGAAATCTGAAATTATCAAGATTATAGAAATGTAGAATGTATAAAATATTTAGGATAGGGAAATAACGCGTTACTTGTAACGCCGTTACAGTTTCTTCTTTTTGGTAACGGACTCGTAACGGCGTTACTTTTTTCTTTTTGCAACTGTAACGGTAACGTAGTTACATTTTTTCAGTAATGGTAACGAATTTAACAGTTCATACTTTTATCGTTACTTTTAATATTTTGAATCTATATTTATGGCAATTTTCGTATATTCAAGTCTCCAGTTTTCGACCGATAGTAATTTGCGGTTGTTGTATTTAAGATCATCTTAAGAATAGTTTTAAGATATCATACCAATCACAAAGCCGTATTAGTATAAGAACAAACTTTATGAATACCAGCTTTGAGGCCGGGCGCTTGCCGCTGCGATTTTCCGTGTTAAAAATTTTAAACATAAAATTAGGAGTACAAAAGAAGTATAAACTGTATTTATAAATTCAACGAAAACTAATATTTTTCCTTATTTGCATTTTGAGCATTAAAACATTTCTCTTTCAATTTTTTTGTGGTCTTGCAATTTAAAATATAAAATTTCATTGCTTTTATTAATATTTTAATAAAAAATATTACAAAAATAAATTTTTTAGTCTGTAACTCATTATAGTATTGAAAAAGTAACAAAAAAAGTAACAAATCGTTACTTTTTAAGTAATGGTAACGATAACGAGTTACTTTTGAGAATCAGTAACTAATATAACCGTACCGTTACTCTAGTAACAGTATTAGTTATTAATACAATACTATCCGTTAAGTAACTAGTTATTTTTTTGACACGGTAACGAGTAACGGTAATTAGTTACTTTTAAAAAATAACTTTTTTATCCCTGAAAATGTTCGAATTTTATAATACACCGAATAATTTGCTCACGAAGCAGATTGACACATGCGATTGGTCATTTCCAGTAGACTAATCAACGATTAAGTTAATCGGAGCTTGGTCGAAGTGGCCTTAAAACTAATATTTTGAAAGTTCATGAATTTTCTCTGTAGCTTTTTATTAATTAATTTGATAATCATATTACTTACTTGTGGAACTTATAGAGGATCCACTCTGTGTAATTAAATGACGCGTATAAATTAGGCATATTTAGATTTAACGTGTCTGTAGCCAATAATACGATTACTTTAAAAGGCATATAAAATTTTCCAGGCCAATAGTTCATGCTCTCAACAAGACACCTGATTATGTGCTCCCATTCTGGTGTCAATTCCTTAAAATTTGGTATTACCCAATATTGATAAAGGTCATTCACGCGTTGTTTTATTTCCTCGAGGCTGCCACGGCAAAAGTTGTACCTGGATATATAATACAATTTATAATATCTCCAAAGTTTTGATATTATATATAGATAATGTGTTTTATGTAACATATTACGTGTGTACATGTATCGATAAAATTACGTAGCCCTGATTTAAAAAAAGCGATAAGAAATGATAGAAACTGACACAATTTGCAAAAAATCTTATCGTTTCTTATCGTAAGCCTATATAATCATTTAGATTCCGAAATAAATGTTATCGTTTTCTTTCGTTCTCTGTTGAAAATTGATTCAATCATTGGAATACGATAGAATTCTTATAGTAATTTATTGTTTTCTATCGTTTTGTTGGAATTTATCGAGAAGAAATGATTTTCTATCGTTTTCTGTCGATTTTTTTTTATCAAACAGTATTTGAAATATTGTTTATATTAAGTTGGGGAGAAAGTAATCCCGGTCACGTATAAATGGCAATACAACGCACGGTAGAACTATTGTTCTACATTAAAATTACTGCAAGACAAGTCTTCCTGTTTATCATATATGTGTATTTATTTTGATTTGATAAAGATTGCCACGTGTCATAATTACTACGAATCCTTGTCGCCACGTCAGTCACTGCTGAAATTTATATAGTCAACAACTTCAGTGTCTAAACGCAATATTGCTCGAAAAACGGCCGTTATATGTCTCAAACCGATTTAAGATTTGTCTTACACCATCTTTCTGCGCGATAACGTCCTACTTCATATCGCTGTAACCGCATCGATAAACACTTTTATAGACTTGAGCTGTAAAATTCTCCTGCAACCTACCTAACTCACCAGATATTGCGCTTTTAGATCATTACCAATTTCGATCGATGCAGCACGGCTTGAGAGGACAACGCTTTCGAAATCCGGACGAAGTCAAGAAATGAATCAAAGGCCAGTATTCATAGTTAAATCTTACATTTAAGACCGTCTTAAGTACGATCTTAAGATGTTATGAACCAATCACAGAGCCGTGTTAGCATCTTAACACATTACTTAAGACAGTCTTAAAATAAGAACCGACTATGAATACCGACCATAGATTTCTTCGCAATCAAAGAGCCGACTTATTATCGGCACGGCATCCTTCTGCTTGAAAGATGGCATAAAATAATTATAAATTCGAACGTAATTAGTTTAATTTAAAAGAAAAACGTTGCAACTATTTTTTCTTAATAGATATTTTTCACGAAAAAATCCAGATTACTTTCTTCCCAATTTAATATACATATGATTATAACACAATACACAGTATATATTATAATTGCACTACACATACTCATCTTCCATTCCAAGAAAATATCCATAACATTTCCACATATGGCAAAAAGCCTCCAAGTCTTCGTCGGTCGCGTCGTGTATTCCAACACTTTGTGGATAGAGCAAAGGTACAACTACAAAACAGCTCTGAGTAAGTGAAAAATCCGCGTTATTTATACCTTTTGGTTTGTATGGTGATTTGTTGATAATTGTATGACGCTGTCCAAATTTTTCAGGTGAAGAAACCGCAGCGAAATCCTTTAGAAGCAATTCACGATCTAGACACCATGGATTTGCGAATGTGCACGCAGCGGTAATTTGCTCATGATCCATCTGACACACCTTCTTCCTCATCGTCAAATGCTTACCACGTGCTACTTGCATATCCGTGTAAGCTTTAGTTCCTTTAATCCAAGGATCTCCACTATACCAGCTGAATATTCGTTTTATAGTCAATACGTACCTTTGAAGTGTATAAAATATATTCATGTGCATATAATTATCTACTTTTTTTTATATGGTCATATAAATACAATATTTTAAAAAGATACCTTTGGAATGCTAAGTACGGCGTATGGCTATATGCTCCCAAAATAATTGGCTTCAATTCTTCTTGAAACGTATAAATATACATAATCCCTATTATTTTCGATATGGCGATCGCAGTGTAATTTTTCTGGACAAATATTTGTCCCCTGCGATATTTATCCATATCCATCCATTCAGGTAATTTTTTCAAGGTTCGGTCATTATTTAATTGGCAAAAGGCAGCTGGAATAATGCTCTGTAAAGACTGCGGCATGTTTGGAAAGAATTCTGCTATGTTTTTTATTATCCAGTCGCATTGCTTTTTTACGGTCCAGACATTGAAATTATTTGAAAATTCATTTTGAGAATTTACTCCAAATATGTTTTTAAATAATTTTACAAGTCCATCTTCGTCCAAGTTTTTTGAGCTAGATTTTATATCGCGCTGAATATTATTGGTATTTATCATATTTTATGGATAACGCAACTGTAACACAAATACAAAACACAAATTTATTGTAAACTTGTAAATTTGATTTCATTGTTTTTTAAAGTTGTATGTTATTGGACCATATGTATATATACTCTTTAGTAATTTGAGTAATTATTTCACTATAATTTATTTTGTTCTTTTGTCTTACCTATAATCTGCTATTCAACTAAAGAAATATCATCACATGATAATCATGCGATACGGTAATACCGCGACGTCAAATACATAAAAATAGTGACTATCATTATAAAGGCTGTTTATACCATCACAACACTGTACCAATAAGCTTATCTGGAGTTTTCACGTAATTCAAGCTTTTGATTAAAATATCTCATATATTATAAAATAGTAAAATAATGTATAAACGATGTATTTCTTATATGTATAATTTTTATTGCGCGCGTAATTTGCGACCAGTTTGATTAAGATCGGTGCAGTCAATCTTGAGATCTCGAAATCTTAACGGTGAAAAGGTCACTTTTTTCGCGAAGAGAGTTCAGATTCAGTCACATGTACACACGCACATACGCAAAGCAAGTTTGTCCCTCAAGCCGTATTTGCAACTCTTATATGTGTGCATATTTGTATGTGATATATGTAAACTAAAACACGCACATATTTTCCTGTATCTTTTCATGTATATTTTCCTATATCCATATATTAAGCAGCTTACCCTCACGAATGAAATGAGAGAAACTGTAGGAAATGATTTAGGCATGCCTCAGAATCATTTGAAGCTAATCAGATTTGCTGCAAAATTCCTAGGAATACCAGTATTTAGAATCTGCATTACTGATGACTTAATGAGGTCTACCGCTCAAACTAAAGAATAATTACATTTGCATGTATTATTTCTGTCGATAATGTTTTTGAATGTTTCCACAAAATTTCTCCTGTTTGCAGTGACTAATAGCAACGACTGAGTGCAGTTTTGTTACTTTTCCACTTATTCATTATATTATATAAATCAATTTATTTATAGTTCCACTTTACTAGTGATTAGATAACAATTATAATTAACAAATTCATTTTTTAAACGATATATATATATATATATATATATATATATATATATATATATATATATGGGGCATTCCATGCCAAATCAACCAACGATTTTCCTCGACCATTTTTGATTTGGCTGAATAGAATATTATAAATTAGGGAACTTTAACGGAGCAAGTAACAATTAAATCATATAGTTAATGAAAAAAAAACACGTATATTATATCTATGAAAATAGTAATCAGATTTATTTAAAAATAAAATCAATAAAAAAATTAAAATTAAAAATAAACAAAATAAATTAAAAATATATATTTTTGATTTATTTTATCCGTTATGTTCCCCAATTTATAATATTCCATTAAAAAAAAATGATGGATTCCTCATCAATGAATTCCTCTTTATCTATAGATCAAAATTTCAGGATTGCTGTCTATAAATTAATCAAATTTTTTGATAGCCATCGGTAGTCTATCTTGTTTAAAAAAAATTATTTTCGAAAAAAATGAAGAAAAAGTTCCTTAAAAAATCGAAGTTATTGCGAAATCCCACTTTCATATATGGCTTAAAAATTTCAAAACCAAGTCTAGAATTTGTGAGATTTTTTTGAAAAAAAAATCAAAACGGTTGTATTGAGAAAAACAAAAATTTTTTACTTAAATTCTGAAAAAAAAAAAACAGTTATATTGTCCACTAAAAATTATTTCGATATTTTTTTCGAAAAGTACGGTGAAAAACAAAAAAAAGATTACCTTATTTTGTACAATATCTTTTTTCTTCTTAAAGTTACAGGCATTTGAAATTTTAAACTGCTTTAATTTAAATTTTTTTGAAAAAATTCATAACTTAAGTATGGGTAGAGATAAAAATCTAAAAAAAAAAATCATGGAAACTACTTTTATTTAGTATGAAAACACAAAATTTTTAGCCAAATAAAAAATGGTCGAGGAAAGTCGTTGGTTGATTTGGCATGGAATGCTCCATATATATATAATCGGCTTTATAATATCGGTTCTTCACTGCAGGTATTCATTACATAGTATCTCCAATAACTCCTGCAAGTTTCAACAAAATCGGCGGAGAACAGCGCGTAGTGTTCTCTTGTTGTTATTCATACCGAGTGGTGATACCATAAACATAGCCGTAATAAACATAAAAGTTCGATCACTCAATCTGGATGAGTCACATTTTATATGTACTTTGTGTCGCGATACTACACCGTACCGCGTGATCCAACAACTCTGTCCGCGGTTTTTAGAGTTTTACACGGTTACTTACATTTAGCTGTAAACATATTTACTCAAAATATGTAAAACTAGAATATAAAACAGAGTTGTTGGATCAAGCGGTACGATATAGCATCGCGACGCAAAGTACATAAAAAATGTGACTCACCCAGATCAAAATGTATAATAAATATTTGTAGGCGACATAAAAACAAATCTCATGAAAATGTAAATACGGAACAAATATGGAGCATGAACGTTTTTTATTTGTATAGGTACTTGGCCTATTGGAAGTCAAATATTATACTAAAAGATGAATTTGTTTCGATTTCGATGAATAGCGTTAATTTCATGGATATTCTTCAATATCAGACGCGATTGCTGTCACATTGGGAAGAAAGGCAAAACCCGAAACAATTGTCCCCTAAGGTATAGTTGAAGAGTTAATCGTAAATAAAGAAAATCACATCAATCTACCTCTTTGTAAGTTTTCTGATTTCGTCCTGGAGACCGGCGCGGCGGTGGATTATTTTTCTCGTCGGGATGACAAAAGAATGTAATGAGTCTCTCGTGCGACTATTAAGTATGTCTTCTTAGAAAGTTGGTAGGCTTTACTGTCAGCAGTTGGGTAACGATCGGCGTTGTTGAAAAAGAACTGAAAGATCGCCACTATATGCGTGATACTTAAATATTATTAGCGATGCTTGAAGAGAGAAAGAGACTGCGATATTGGTGGCACCGCGTGTAGGGGAGACCGGTATTTACATTATTATGAGATTTGTTTTTATGTTGCCTACAAATATTTATTATACATTTTGATCTGGGTGAGTCACACTTTTTTTGTGTCATCCGCTGTTTACCGCGCTTGGCTCCGATTGCCTCATTTATTTCTCTTGATTTAGTCAAGAAAGCCTATACCTCTTTTATTTTATCTTACGCAGGCTGAAAAATGCGTTTCTTTCAAAATATTAATTACGCTGAAGATGACACAAAAAAATGTCGAAACGTCCGTTTTTAATATATTTATTATTACAATTTGGCTTCGCATTGTTTACCGCGCTTGGCTCCGATTGCCTCATTTATTTCTCTTGATTTAGTCAGGAGAGCCTATACTTCTCGCTATACTTCGTTTATTTTGTAATATAATTCTCATAAACTTAGAGTAAATGAAAGAATAATAATTCTCATAAACTTTGTAATACTTTCATAAACTTTGAGTAAATAAAAGAATAATAATTCTCATAAACTTTGAATCCCATCGCATTTGAGACAACTTACCCTGAACGGTCATTTTGAACAAAGAAGATTATATTTATAAACTATGTAATGACGGTTAACTAAATACAAGAAAAATTATCTAAAACTATAATATTTTTTATGACCAAAAAGAAATTACAACTAATAATTCCAAAAACCAACGGAACAATAAAAATAGAGGCAAGAAAAATTTACTCACGACCTCCAATTTTTAAAAAGTGCTCGTAAATATCACATGCGATGTTTTTGAAACGAGCTATTTCGTACACCCGACTAACACGATAGGAGCAACCTACACTATAAAGCAGAATATTCCACTCAATCTATTAAGTGAGATATAAGCTTTGTGACAACTTACCCGTGTGACTTCTAGCCCCGGTCTCCCCTACTCGCACGGCAATGAAATAAAGAGCAGCACGTCATACATATTCTCTTTAGGTTTAAAGATGCTTTATGCGTCAATCATGATTTATTTATTATGAATAAAAAATGATCGATTAGTGCAATACATTGTATGCGTTTGATCGCATCGCGGAGTCGGCCTTGTATATGATCGCAATTTTCTCAGCAAATTAAACAGTTAGGAGCATTAAAGATTAGCGATACCTGTTCGCGTAATCAGTTGTTTTCACCAGCTGTCTGTTGTGTTTGTCTGTCTATTATTAGGCATCTATTATATTACGTTAGGCAAGTATAAAAGGTTCTGAAAAAGTTTTCAATATTGAGAAAGAAGAAAAACTCAAGACAAGTACGCAATAATTTTAAAACAACGTTTTTAATTAATAAGCTTTCAAATTATTATAGACTAGCAGTTGAAAAATTTTGTGGATAGTGTAGAAATTAAAAAAACATTATGACAATGTGGAAAGCACGAAAATTCCATAAATGCTACACTTAAGCATTTATGGTCAACTGATAAGGACTCGCAGACCGACTTATACTTATGCTAACTTGACAACGGCCGAGAACATTATCAAACATAACCGACCACTTTTCACATAGCACGTATAAGTGGCCGTCTTTTATCAATTAAAACGTCCATAACAGCAATTATATTCTACAGACCTGCTACACCGCAGATTGCTGTTCTCTCGTTTTTTATAAGTTGCGACAAATGGACGATATCTAGCACATTTGCTACACTTACTACGTTTACGCGAGCGTTACTTCTGTAGTAACTTACGATAATTCCTTCGCGTAAACGGGATTTTGTAATATAACTTACGATAATTTATCTACTATCTTAAATTCAAAATATTTATAATTAATTCACGCACTCGTGCGTCATTTTGCGCGTGCACTTTGGATCATTCTTACTTGACTTTCATATCATGACCCTATGACTTTACTATACATATTCAACTGTTAGAATGATAGAATGTCCTCCAAATGTATTTATCATCGTCATCCTCTATTACAGGAAAATGTAACAGAAGCCAAACAGAATGTGTTGAGTGAAGAATTACGCGCATAGATGGGCACGAACATCGTGTGTACAGAAGGGTTTTTAAGGGAGGATTCTCTTTTTTTTCGCTGGCGATGATTTACAAGTAATAACGTTTCACCATAGAAAAATTATTACACCAAAAGACGGCTCTGTGATTACAGATAAAACTTTCGGCGAATGTGAGGAGCTGGAAGTATTAGAGCGTGCGGCATTTATATTGAGAAAAAAAATGTTATCAATTAAAGCTCAGCCTCTATCAGGCAATATAACAGCGCTCGATTTAATTAAGGGGGAATGCGAAATCCCTGCTGATGTTTCGCAGTTTTTCCGTTCAGTAATTTGCGATAATGATCCAAGAACTGTGAAAAGTTGTAACTGCACTCGCAAAGTCAATCGTCCAAGACCTTATTTACGCAGTAAGTCATGGAAAAATTAAAACTTCTATGCACATAACGCTTGGAATGACATTGAAAAGCATCACAAGTAGTAGAAAAGTAATTGACATTATAAATAAATACGGGCACTGCTGCAGTTACAATACTATCGAGGAATTTGAAACTGAAGCTACATTTACATTTGCCTCTTGTAGTAAATCGATTATTTGTCCCGAAGATATTTACTTATCGTCTAATTATTGTACAGGAGTAGCCTTCGACAATTATACGATCGATTCGTTGAAACTTGTAGCGGTAAGGATACGTTACACGAT